AATTCACTTCACTTCTTGGTACACAAATAGCCTGCCAAAAGGAGCCCACACCTCCATACCCTGCTCGTGAGCCCAGTGACTGCTGACAGACTGTGTGGCATGGGCCAATCAGAAAACGAGCCCACACCTCCATACCCTGCTCGTGAGCCCAGTGACTGCTGACAGACTGCGTGGCATGGGCCAATCAGAAAACAATACGCTGACCGAAGGGACTTGGGGACGGAGAAAAGGAAGGCCTGCCGCCTGCCCTCTCCTGCATTAAACGAGCCTGCAGCACCTCACCTAGATAGCCCCCCCAAAGGAGCCCATGCCTCCGTACCCTGCTCACGAGCCCAGTGACTGCTGAAATACTGCATGGCGTGGACCAATCAGAAAACCATACGCTGACTAAAGGGACTTGGGGACGGAGAAAAGGGAAATATAAGGCCTGCCCTCTCCTGCATTAAATGAGCCTGCAGCACCTCACCTAGTGCTTGTTTCTACCTGACTCCCGGAGTCTGTGTGTTGTGACTCCATGCCTCTTGTCCCCCTAATCAGCAAGGGACCCGATCCAGGTTAGGGTCTTCACAGCTGGCCTGAGGAGAACCCACAACATGCCACCACGCCCGGCTACCCCATCTTGTTTTCTGAGACAGGGTCTCTTACTGGCTTGGGGTTCACTGATTAGCACGCTGGCTAGGGTAAAAGTACTTGCCACACAGGCCTAACAACTTGAATTCATCCCCAGAACCCATGTGAAGGTGAAAGGAGAGAACCAACCCCACAAAGTTGTTCTTTGACCTCCACATGTGCTCATTATATAAATTAACTTTAATAAAAAATAAATCTGAGCCAGTTGTGGTGGTACACACCTAAAATTCCAACAGTTAGAAGACTAAAGAAGAAGGATCATGAGTTAGAGGCTGACCTGAGACCATGTCTTGAAAGGAGGATAGAAAGAAACTAAAAAACCTGGATATGGTGCTACACTGGAGGTGGAGTCAGGAGCACCAGAAACTCAAGATCATTCTTAGCAAAGCTTAAAAGGCTAGTATGGGGCTGGAATACAATATACTACTACCTCATTGTCCTCTTAGTAAGTAGTCTAACTTAAGTACTGATAGATATTTAGAGATTATGCAAGGATCCAAATCTGTTTTTTCTTCAGTGTACCAGCAAACATGCTGTGATTCTTCTACATCCTCATAACAAGAGCAATTTGTGCCTTCTTCTGTATCCCTGAAAAATATTTTAACCCACATCAGCTTCTGTACATTAAAAGCTAGTTAAAACGGTTGGAGATATAGCTCAATTTGTAGAATGTTTGCCTAGGTAGCAGGATGCCCTGGGTTCAATCCTCAGCACTGAAAAAAATGGGCATGGTATGTCTGTAAGTCCAGCTTGGAGGTGGGGGCAGGAGGATCAGGGTCATCCTTTGGCTACATGGCAAGACTGAGGCCATCCTGGGCTATATAAGACACTATCAAGTTGGTACCAGCCTGGAAACTTAACATCTCCTATCTAGCTTTTACAGTGCTGAAAGGTGCTATACATGGTACTAGAGGAGAAAAGTAATCAACAATCTTACCGAGCTGTGAACCCTGCCAGCTACAATAACAACTGGCCTGCCAAAATATGTCCACTGGGGGACTGGAGCGATGGCTCAGTGGTTAAGAGCACTGGCTGTCTTGCAGAAGACCCAGGTTCAATTCCCAGGACCCCCATGATGGATAACAATCATCCACAACTTCAGTTCCTGGGGATTCAATGCTGTCTTCTGACCTCCGTGGGCACTGTGCAACATGAGTGCACTTACACACATGCAGGCAATACATTCACACACATAAAAATGTAAAAAATTTTAAAAAGCTATGTCCACTGCTGCAATAGTGGCATGTATGTTATGGAAGTAACCAACTACTTTCTGATTGGATTTAAGGCCTGCTCCACAAGACGTAACTCATGCCTACTACTGTTACCTGAGCCAAGAACCCATGGTTGGGTAGGTCACAGGCCCTAGGGGAGAACCTAGTGCTGTTATTCTACTAAATGGGTATAATATTAAACTGGCCCCCTAAGTATTTAGCTTTATACCCATAGATTAATGCATCTCTCAATCTTTATCAGAGAAGCTTCTTTTCACAGTAGATGTTGATTAATGCAGAGACCCACAATTGGCTAACACTCAAAGAATAATTAATTGTGGAATACTCAGCTCTAAATGGGACATCTATATCACACTCCCTCCCTACAAGGCTCAAGAATCATGGCTGAAGGGGTTGGGGCAGAAAGAACTCACAGCAGCAGTGACTACATGCACAGGACCTTTATAAGACCAAGCCAACCAAAACAATAGACTGGATGAGGAAAGAACTCAGGAAGTCCCATCCATACCTACTGTCAATTGATGATGAGAGACCTGAGTGACTCCATCTTGGATAAAACCTCCATAGGACTGACCCAGCCTTGGGCCCTGTTCCAAGAAAAATCACAATACTTGGAACAGATAGAGAACAACTATCCTGCCAATGGTCAATTAACCAGGGACAGGAAAGTACTACAAGTCCAGATCTTTTCAGATTTCCTGAAGCCAGCAGTTTATGGTTTGGCACTGGGCTGCAACCAATCAGATGCTTGCCAGGCTGAAGACCCCCTACTCCCCTACTTGCTGAACTTGCTGAAATAAACCTATAAAAACCTCTGTCTCCCAAAGCAAGGGGTCTCACATCTGAGATTCGCTGGGTCAGTGACAGAGTGGGCCCAAGCTTAAGCTTGCAACAATAAAAGAACCCCTGTGTATTTGCATCGGTCGGCTCCTTGGTGGTCTTTGGGGTTTCGAGAACTGGGCACAACAATGACTGCTGGGGGCAGGAGGCAGTCAGTTTTCTTTGGGGGAGAAGCTACCCATGATTAAGTAAATGGCCCTATATCCATGGACATACTGGCAGTACTAAGTGGATTCAGTGAGTTAAAAAAAGAGCACAAGAAGCTGGGCGTGGGGCACATGCCTTTGATCCCAGCATGTGGGAGGCAGAGGCAGGCAGATCTCTGTGAGTTTAAGGCCAGCCTGGTCTACATAGTGAGTTCTAGGACAGCTGGGGCTACAGGGAGACCCTGTCTCAAAAAACAAAAAAAAAGTCGGGCATGGTGGCGCATGTCTTTGATCCCAGCGCTCAGGAAGCAGAGGCAGTGGATCTCTGTGAGTTCAAGGCCAGCCTGGTCTACATAGTGAGTTCCAGGCCAGCTGGAGCTACAGAGAGACCCTGTCTCAAAAAGACCCCCTCCCCCCAAAAAGAGCACATGAAGTTTGGAGGGAAAAATGGTGGGAAGGGAAAAGAAAGGAACTGTAAGGAGAAAATTGGGGGGGGGGGGGTGAATATGACCGAAGTACACTGTATGCATGTATGATATTCTCAATTAAAAGCAGAAAGAAAAACTGCGTTCTGAGATGACTGAATGATATATAGCCGATTGTCTAAAATAAACAATTGCACATTTTTCCTACTTAATTACTTGTAAACAACAGGAATGGTCTTCAAAAATATAATACTATAGTTCCTACATTCCTTCCCTGGTCCCTATCTATCTCCTCCTACCCCAATTCCACAGCATACTGAATCAAAACTAAGGAACCAGATGACAATGTGAGCTTGGCAGAAATGTGGAATCACTTCAGACTCAACCTTAAATCGTCTGCCCTATGAGATCAACACTTCATAGTCCCTGAGAGATGAAATGAGATGAAGGCATTTTCTCCTTTATGGCATTAGCTAAATGAGGGAGGGAGGGGGGGAGGGGGAGAGAGAGAGAGAGAGAGAGAGCGAGAGAGAGCTCAAAAACATTACATTTCTGAAGTGTGAATGCTCACACTGACACAGGCTTAACTCATGTCCACGACATCAGGAATGAACGTACATGTCAGCTGAAGCACACACAGCAGTTCTGAAGTAACTTGTGGACCTACAAAATTAGCAACTAATAATGCTGACTATAATTACAACTCAGAAATGAACAAAATATTGTATGTAAATGAAACAAAATTAAAAAATAGTTTAGCCAGGCATGGTGGCGCTCACCTTTAATCCCAGCACTCAGGAGGCAGAGGCAGGCAGATCTCTATGAGTTCAAGGCCAGCCTGGTCTACATAGTGAGTTCCAGGACAGCTGGGGCTACAGGGAGACCCTGTCCCAAAAGAAAAAAAAAAAAAAAAAAAAAAAAGTTTAAAGTCACGAAATAATAGAAAAACAGAGCTGAGGGAATTTACACAAATGTTCACTAGACTATCAGAAACTAAAACTGGACCAAGTGGGTTTTTTCCCTTTGTAAAAAAAAAAAAAAATTAAACTAAACTAAAAGTAAAAACAAGAGGACACTCGACCTCTTTTCAATTGTTAAATGGACAGAAATAAGATAAAATATATAATGGTTTTTCCTTCTGTGGAGCAGAAACTGAACTGAGGAAATATAAATGGTGTTCATTACTGGGTGTGGTGGCGCACACCTTTAATCCCAGAACTTGGGAGGCAGAAGCAGGTGGATCTCTGTGCATTCCAGGCCACCCTGATCTACATAGCGAGTTCCAGGCCAGCTGGGGCTACAGGGAGACCTTGTCTCAAAAAGACAAAAAATAAGTAAATAAATAAATAAATCAATTAATTAATGGTATTCATCAATAAGCAGGAGGTGTAGGGGCATGAGAACAGGAGATGGGACAGTTAATTAATTTAATTAATTAACTGGTTAATTAAAAAGTAAAAACAAGGGGCTGGAGAGATGGCTCAATGGTTAAGAGCAGTGGCTACTCTTGCAAAGGGCCAGGGTTCAATTTCCAGTACCCACAAAAACAACCATTTGTAACTCCAGTTCCAGGGGATCTGACACCCTCTTCTGACCACTGTGGGCATTGCATGACACAGGTGCACTTACATACATGCAGGCAATATACTCATAAACATAAAATTTTTTTTACAAAAGTAAATTTTTTTAAAAAGGAAAAGGAAGCTGGGCATGGTGGCACACACCTTTAATCCTAGCACTTGGGAGGTAGAGGCAGGTAAATTCTGTGAGATGGCAGCGAGCCTGATCAGGTTCCCGACCAAACAGGGAGACTGTCTCAAAAAAAAAAAAAAAAAATCAGATAAATAAATAAATAAATAGGAAAACTGACCACATGTGAAACAAAAGTTCTCTTTGTTTTTCAAACTTTTCCTTTATATTGAGGTTTGAATTCAGGGCCTCTGTGTAGTCTAGGCAAGTTAGCCAACTAAGCCACATTCCCAGCCCCACAGATACTATTAATAAATACCATTTTACCTTGAGGAAATAAACTCAGAAAAGTTAAGTAGATTGGGACAGGTCACTTTGCTAACAGAAGGCAGAGCCAGGCTACCAATCTACACAATCTAATTTCACCATAACTTGATACTGTCTCATAGGAACATCTGAAATTGATAAAAAGTGGAGAAATAGCATTTCACAGTACTGCATGAGAGAGAGACCTGATCAACATTTAAATGGTAATGGAACTTATGCATTTGAATTACTGGACTCTTTATGCCTTTCAAAGCTAGACACAAAAATGTGAGGACGGTCTGACTTCGGTATCTGTCTGATGATTGTCTAGCTTAGGTGGGTGTCCCTTTCCTCCCTCATTGCTCCTTGCATGTTCCTGGCCAAAGCTGCACACTCAAAGAAAACCTTACCTGAGAGAGGAGGACAGGCCTTTGGTCAAGGCTACAAAGTAGCTGTCCTTTCCTGCTAAAATCTCCAAACAAGCTCTCAAAAGTAGATGCAGACGCTATATCCTATTAAGAGTTCAGTTTCTGAAAAGCATTCATCATACATCAATCCTGTCAACAAAGCAAGGGTTGTTTGAACTCAAATGAGACAGTAACATTCATCAAGTTATGAAGGAAAATTTCACAGGTGAGGCAGCATTTCTAATGGCAGAAGCAGCATAACTTCTTAACAGACTCTCAAGAGATTTCAACTTAATTTCAAAAGTTCTTGGCTGGACGATGAAGGCCAACCACAACTAGGTCAGGAAGAATAACAAGAAATACTACCCTGACTGACAAGCTGGGGGGTCAAGTCTTTGCTATCAGGTTCCAATGGACCAGCAAGTGTTTTACAATCTGTAAACTGCAAATGGTTAGAAGACAAGCCCTGCATCTTAGCAAGTGGGAGACGTACAACTAACATTTTTTTAAGATAAAGCAAACATAAATCGACTGACATCCACCACCAGGTGACAGTGCACACAGCCCTAGTGCCTTATGCCAACCAGACCTTGGGTACTGACTAATTTCAAAAGCTGTCAAGACACTTTAACACATGATCCCAGGGGGAAAAGGCTGACCTTGGTTTATCCGGATGACCCAAACCAACTGTAAAAGGGCATTATTATATATAAATATTATATATAATTGTCCATTTCATTCAATGTGATAATGTGGTTATGCCTTCACAAATTTATCTACTAGGTATACACTTAGTATTCATGAATTGGAGCGTATTTCCTTTAAAGCAGCTGCTGGCAACGGGGAGGTATTGTTAAAACGTAGCTACTTTGGGAAAGTGCCTGAGACTTACTACAAAAACACCACACAGACACACACACACCACACAGTTTTTCACCGTGGCCCAAAACACCACACAGACACAATCTCTCTCTCTCTCTCTCTCTCTCTCTCTCTCTCTCTCTCTCTCCTCCCTCCCTCCCTCCCTCCCTCTCTCTCTCTCTCTCTCTCTCTCTCTCCTTTCACCGTGGCCCCAAAGGTACCGGACCCGACCCAGGAGGATTCCAGGCCGCCTTCCTTCCCGCCCGACTCGAAGGTGAGCAGGGCCGCAGGGCCTACTCGGCCCTCAGCCTCGCTCTCGCGAGCTCCCCGGGCCTGTGGCTTGGGCTCCGAGGACCTCAGCACTGAACGCCGCACACCGCCCAAACGCCAGGCTCCTGGCCTCGGGGGCGAACTGCCTGCGACGTCACGGCGCCAGGCGCCGGGTCAAAGTTCAGCTCCTCCCTTCGCTGTCTCCTCGGCCTGCGCCGCCGCTCGAGGTCCCGGCTCGGCTCCTTCCGCTCCGCCGCTTCCTCCGGAGAGCTGCCCGGCAAGCCGCCATGGCGAACTTTCCCGACACGAAGCTGTACGACATCCTGGGCGTCCCTCTCGGTGTCAGCGACAGCGATCTGAAGAAGGTACTGGAGCGAGCGGCGGGCAGGGCGCGGGGCCTGCGGGCCGGGGCGGCCTGCGGAGCGGCCTGCGTGACCTTGGGCTTCCGCCCCGCCCGCCACTAGCAGAAGCCGAGCGCTCGCAGCCCCCCGCGGACGCGGCCGGAGCCCTTCCTGCCTCGCGCGGCCCGCGCCGACCCGGCGCCCAGGTCTCCACCCGGAAAAACAGGTCGGGTCGAGGTGCCCGCACGGCCGGGCCCGGGGAGAGGCTGCCGCCTGGGCCGACGCCGGGTGCGGGCGGAGCGGTTGCTGGGCCGGGGCCGCCCCCGCGCTGCCGGGTGGAGGGCTGCTTCCTGGGAGCTCCTCCCTGTTCCTCCTGGCCCTGACGCCGGGGAGCGTGGGTCTGCTGGATGCATTGTTCTGTGGGCAGGTGATCCTGTGCCGGCTGACGAAGTCCTGTGTCCCAGCCAAACACCTGAGTGGACACTGACTAAAAAGAAAACATCTCAGTGTCGTCCTTTGTAATGGTCCAGAGTCATCCCAGGATTTAAAAGCACTTACGGCATCTTCCCTGGCCATCGGTCTCCGGTCCGAGTTTGTAAACCAAGAAAAATGAGAACGTCCCTTAGGCAGTGGGACCGGTAGAGTTGAGAGTAAAAATGGACTTCCTGTTACCTTTCCGGAAATGGTAGGCGCTGTTATATAATTCATGAGTCTGTGAAGATTAAATGCTGCCTGTCCAAACCACCTCATTGAGAGTATGCAACTTCACTACCTCCGAGGTCATCTGGCAGACCCCTGTTGACCCACCGTGTAGAAATAAACACCACCTAGGACAATCTCGGCCCTTTCCTGATGTTCTAGTTAGAAGCGAAACAGGAGCTGGCAGGAGAAGGGATTCTAAGATTTGCCTGATTCCTTTGCTTTCTGTAAAGTGTAAAAAGGGAATATTGTTAGATACTACTATGTTTTTCTTTGTAGTATTGTTTTGTTTGTATTTTGCTTCAATATGATCTAGTTTCAACAATACTGTTTATTTTGTTACATACATTAGCATGTAAACGATATTAAGATGGAAAATGCTGAACAGTTCTGATGAGTAGATGAGATTTTTGGAAGGCAGTGACTTTAGAATATTGCTTTTCAGAAAAGTGGGTATTTTAAAACTGATGTCTGTATAACTCTTTCTAAATCTGTTGATTTTTATCTCTTGAAGGCATACAGAAAGTTAGCCAAAGAATACCATCCTGACAAGAATCCAAATGCCGGAGACAAAGTAAGTTATTTGAAACTTTTTCTTTTAATTCCTGGGGTTTAGTTATAAACTAAAATTTAAAATAAATTGCTCTCCTTAAAAAGAGGAATGTTGTAGGAAAAGAATCCATCTATGCCTACAGAGGCAAAGTTGTTTGAATAATTTAGTTTTTTTTAAGCACTGTAATGAAACCTAATACTTTGTATGCTAATTTTATTTAATTATTTAAGTTTTTTATTTTATTTTACTTGTGTGAGTGTATTGCCTGCATTTTAAGTGCACCTGTTTCTTGCAATGCCCATGGAGGTCAGAAGAGGGCGGGCGTTGTGTTGTTAGCTACCAGGTGGGTGCTAGAAACTGTACCCAGGTCCTCCCAAAGAGAAGCCAGTGCTCTTAATTGCTGAGCTATCCAGCTCCACTAATTTCAGCTTTTATTTATGTGTGAGTGTTTTACCTGCATGTATGTGAGTACACTAACTTGTGTTGTCAGACCAGAAGAGGACATGAGATTCCCTGGAACTGGGGTTCCAGACAGTTGGTAGTTGGTAGGGGTGGGTGCTGGGAACCAAACCTCAATCCTCTGCAAGAGCAGCTAGTGTTCCAGCCACTGTATGCTAATTTTAAAAGTTAAATTATTCTTTAAAAATAATAAAAATGATAACTGTTGATGGCTCAGCAGGTAAAAGCCCTTGCCATGTAAGCCTGCCAACTTGAGTTGGATCCACAGAACCTATAGTAGGAGAGAACCTACTCCTGAAAGTTGTACTTTGAGCTCCACACATAGGCCCACACTCATACATACAGTAATGATAATTTCTAAAGGGAAAGTTTAGTTTTATTGTGGGAATACTAACATTCTGTGTAATAGTAGGTAATAAATGGGATCAGAATCAAATCAAAGGTAGCTTGGAGTTTTTTACTAGGATTAAATGAATTCTAGTTTTCTGGTTTTCTCTACTCCTGCTCCATTCTTACATTTGAAAATCTAATTGTTTCATTTTTGCTTTTTCTTTATAGTTTAAAGAAATAAGTTTTGCATATGAAGTATTATCGAATCCTGAGAAGCGAGAGTTGTATGACAGATATGGAGAACAAGGTCTTCGGGAAGGCAGTGGTGGAGGTGGTGGCATGGATGATATTTTCTCTCACATTTTTGGCGGAGGATTGTTTGGCTTCATGGGCAATCAGAGTAGAAGTCGAAATGGCAGAAGAAGAGGAGAAGATATGATGCATCCACTGAAGTAAATATCTTTTTTTTTAAAAAATATTTTTTATTTATTTTATGTGTCTGAGTGTTTTGCTTGCATGTAGATAGGTGCACCTGTCTCGTGCAGTGCCAGCAGAGGTCAGAAGAGGATGTTGGATTCCCTGGAACTGGAGTCTCAGGACAGTTAGCCATCATGTGAGTGCTGGGACTCGAACCCCAGTCCTCTGCAAGAGCAGTCAGTGCTCTTCCCCACTGAGTCATCTCTCCAGCCCCTGAAGTGAATATCTTTAAAAAAAAATATTAACTACTTGTTCCAAGTGATAATACTTAAAACACAATTATCATAGAATATTCTGTCCTTCATGTTAAAAAAAATCCTTACTTTGTTCACATTAGGTGACCAAATGAATTTGATAATTGATGTTTGTGTTTGCTTCAGATCTTAAAGAATGGGAATCTGGAAATGTAAGTCAGTTGGTAAAGTACTTAACTAGCACACACCAAACCCTGGATTGTCTCTCAGGCACTGCATAAACCTGGCTTGGTGGTGTATACCTGTAATTACAGTACTGGGGAAGTAGAGGAGGAGGACCAGGAATTTCAGGTCATCCTCAGCTACATAGCTAGTCTGAGCTTAGTCTGGAATATGTGTGAGTCTTGTCTCAAACAAAAAAAGATCTTAGAGTATGGTTGGTGTTAGCTGAGATTTTTTTTTTTTTCCTTCATATGCTATTGAGACTGTTTGTTCCATGATTTTAAATTTCATATGTGAAGATTATATTCTTTGATGTATTTAAGTCCAGGTTTAAAAGGAGTGGTTGTTTGCCTAGATTGTTTACATGGTAAAATCCTTCATTACTTGATCTTCAATGTTAATTCTCCTACACAGTGGTTTCCATGGAACTTACTGGCTTTTAGCCTGGCATTAACCTGCCAACATATGAATGACATTGATCTTGATTTGGGACTAAGACATTACATGCCCTGTGTAATCTGGAAGCAGACTTTTCACTTTCACTCTATCTTGTTAATTTTTTTCATGAATAATGATTTTACTAACGAATGTTAAAGACTGAAGTTCAAGTGTTCGTGTTTTTCAGACAGGGTCTCATACTGGCCAGTCTGGCCTTGAACTCTTGATACTCTCTACACCTCTAAGGTGCTGGATTATAGGAGTGTTTCATCATGCTTGGTTCTTGGTTGTTTATTTTAAATACTTCAATTCTGGCTTTTGTTGTTACCTTGCTTGTGAAGTATGTATGTGGGTGTACACATGGAGGTCAGGGGACAACTTGCAGTTGATTCTCTCCCTCCACCATATGGGTCCCAGGGATGGCACTTGGATCGATTGACTTAGGGTAAGCTTTTTTGTTTTTTTTTTTTTTTTTCCACACAGCCATCTCACTGGCCCTGTTTTTGTTTGAGATAGTATTAAACTTTAGCCAAGGCTGGCCTGGAACTGATTACCTAATTCAGCTTGCCCTAGAACTTGAATCTTCCTGCTTCAGCTTTCCTGAGTGCTGACATTATGGGCATGAGCGCCAGGCCCAGCTAAAATATTTAATCTTTAAAAAAATAAAGTACTTTATATCTAGCTTAGTGTTGGAGTAAATTGGAGGTGTTCATGAATGATTTTGTGTATTTTAAATGAATTTATCTTCAAAAGTAAATTATCATTTGGATACCATTCCAAAAGTGATAGTTGAGCAATGTGACTTAGCTCTTTCGTATTTTTCTTTGCTAGAGAAATGATCTCAAAAGTAAATAGGCCTGGGCTGGAGAGCTGGCTCAGTGGTTAAGAGCACTCTCTGTTCTTGCAGAAGACCTGGGTCAATTCCCAGCACCCACATGGCAGCTAACAATTGTCTGTAACTCCAGTTCTTGAAATCCAATATCCTCTTCTGGCCTCTAAGAGCATTGCATGACACAGGTACACTTACATACATGTAAGCAAAATATTTATACAAATAAATAAATAAATAAATAAATAAATAAATAATTAAAAAAAAAAGTAAATAGGCCTATCCTCCCCCCAACCCCCGATAAAAATGATTAATAGGCTCAAGAGAGTATTTCCTGTACCTTATGGTTCTTGAAATTTTTCATACAGTAAATGGAGGTTTCTACTGTTTTTTTGCCTGTCTGACTTCCACCTTGTTTTTTGAGAGATAATCTCACTGGGATCTGTAGCTCACTGCTTCAACTAGGCTGGATGGTCAGCGGTCAATCCATGATCTTTGTCTCCCCCGCACTGAGATTATAAATTCATGCCACCATAACCTGCTTTGTATGGGGATTGAACTGAGGCCCTGATGCTTATGTGGCAGGCACTTTACCAATTGAGCTGTCTCCCTACATGTTTTTTTTTGGTTTTTGGTTTTTGGTTTTTTTGAGGCAGGGCCCCATAGCCTAAGCTGGCTGGCTTTGAACTTGCTGTGTAGCTAAGGCTAACTTGGAACTCTTGGTACTCTTGCCTCTGTCTCCTTAGGACTGTAGGCCTGTGCTACCACACCTAGCTTTTTTTTTGAGACAGGGTCTTACTCTGTCCCTGGCTACCTTGGAAATTTGTGTGGACACGGCCTCCAACTCAACAATGATTCTCTTGCCTCTTCCCATTGTGCTAGGATTGTGAGACAGGGTCTTACTCTGTCCCTGGCTACCTTGGAAATTTGTGTGGACACAGTTGGCCTCCAACTCAACAATGATTCTCTTGCCTCTTCCCATTGTGCTAGGATTATAGGTATATCCTACCATCACCACCTCCTAACATTTCTTTTGAATGGCTTTATAGTAGTCTGTTTAATACTGTTGAGGCACTTATCTTTTATATGGGGGGTGCTATAATGTTGCTGTGAATTTCTTTATATAAAGCTTTATCTCTTTGGTAGATTCCTGTGCAGGCATCCATTGCTTTGTGTCTTTTTGAGACACTGTAGTCAAGGCTGACCTTGAACTCATAGCAGTCCTGTTTCAGTCTCTGAAGTGCTGAGATTGCGGGTGAAAGCCCCCATCCCTACTTAGCATCCATGTTTTAAAACTGCTAAATGCAATTAAATTGCTTTATAGACATAATTTTCGAATTTAAGCCTCACTGGTAAGTGCCAACATTGTCAGACTGTTAAAGTTTTCCTTCCTTGCCATGTTTGTTGAATGTGAATTTTTCTGACTTATATGCTATTTGATGTGGGAATTTGTTTTGTTTTGTTTTGTTGTTTGATGCAGGATCTCTCTCTCTCTGTAGCCCTAGCTGATTTGAAACTGTATTTATAGAGATCTGCCTGCCTCTGCTTCCCAAGTGCTATACTGGGATTATAGGTTTATGCCACCATGCTTGGTCCTTACATAATATTTGTAATTTGATTTGTAGGTGGGGAAAACCCCTTTGTGTTTGTTTGATGTGGAGATTCTTAACCCGAGTATAAAAAGATAGGTGCAAGAAGCCGGGCGTGGTGGCACACACCTTTACTCCCAGCACTGGGGAGGCAGAGGCAAGCAGACCTCTGTGAGTTCAAGGCTAACCTGGTCTATATAGCAAGTTCCAGGCTAGCTGGGGCTACACGGAGACCCTGTCTCAAAAAGACCAATTACATTTATTTGTATTTGTTGGGCAGGGGTTGTGAAGTTCAGGAACCAGGGGTCATGTGGGGAGGTCAGAGAACAACTTAATGAAGTTGATTCTCTCCTGCCATGTGGATCCTGAGGATCTAATTTGGTGATCAGGTTGGCAAAAAGCACCTATACCTGCTGAGCCATCACACCAGCCCATAACTGTTATTTTTATACTGCCTACAAGTTTTAGCTTAAAGTAACAATTTTGAGGAAGTTTAAATACCACTTAATAGTATCCGTGCCTTGTAGAATGACTTTGAACTCTTCTTTTTTCCTTTAATTTTCAGGATTTTATAGTAGTGAGAAATGCTTAAAGGCTGGGGTTGTAACTCAGTGGCAGTGTAGCTGCTCAGCATGAGTTCACTCTCAGCTCTGCAAAGAGTAAAGATTTTAAAACACATAAATAGTAAAACCAGATTATTAAGTGCATTATATAAACAAATGGTATTGGTGAGGCTTTTTATGTAATTTTATACATTAATATTTCCTATATATAATGTAATTCAACTATAATTTCCTGCATGAGCATGGGTAGGAGTTATTTGCTTAACCAAGGGCAAGTTACCTTTGCCATGTTGCTGAGGAATGATTCCCCCCCCTCAGGAACCAGTAACTGTCTACAGTGCCTCAGAAAAGGGTGGGACTCTTTGCTTTTTGAGATTAGTTTGGCAATTGATTCTGTAATTCAAGTATGCTATGTATGAATAAAAGTGAGTTGTGTTTTTTCAGTTGTGTGTATGCATACACACATGTAGTTAGTTTTGCTTTGTTTTTGAGACAGGGTCTTGGTATTTCGCACTGGCTGGCCTAGAACTTACTATGTAGACAAGGATGGCTTTGTACTTTGTACGATCTTCCTGCCTTAGTGTTGATTACAGGTATGCACTGCCATATTTAATTGTAGTAGGGGTTGAATCCATGGTCTGTTGTACGTTATGAGCTATGTCCCTAGCTCTGTGTGTGTGTGTGTGTGTGTGTATGTACTTTTGAATATTTGTATTATTTATTATTTTTGTATATGAGTGTATTGCCTGCATACAAGTAATTGCACCTGTGTTGTGCAGTGCCCAAGGAGGTCAGAAGAGGGCATCAGATTCTCTTGTAACTGGAGTTATGAATGGTTGTTGGCCACTATGTGGGTCACATAGTGCAAGAGTAGTCAGTACTCTTAATCACTGGGCCATCTCTCTAGCCCCTAGTATATTTTTTTAAACATGATTTTATTATTTTTATGTGCATGAGTGTATTGCCTGCGTATAAGTGCACCCATTTCTTGCAGTGTCCACGGAGGGCAGAAGAGGGTGTCCGAGCCCCTGAAACTGGAGTTATGGACAGTTGTTAGCAGACATGTGGGTGCTGGGAATTGAACACAGGTCCTCTGTAAGAGTGTAACTTTTGAGCCATCTCTCCAGCCCCCTTCCCCCAGTATATTTTTAAAAAGTTTTTTTTTCTATACCACTTTGAGTTGCGATGGACTTGGAAAAAACTGTACACATCTGATGATGAATTTGGGTAATAAACAGGCTTTTTATTCAACCTTTGAGTCAGATATCTTTGAGGATTTGATAAAAGTTGTTCAGATATGGGATGTTTATGATTTGGTGGGTTTATTACAAACTGTTGATTTATTGCTTCTCTGAAAGTTTCTCTGTTGAAAACGTGTTCATTCCCTCTTTTCTGTCACAGTATGTGACTTTTTTTTTGGTCTTTTGAGACAGGGTTTCCCAGTAGCCCCAGCTGGCCTGGTACTCACTATGTAGACCAGGCTGGCCTCGAACTCAGAGATCCGCCTGCGTCTGCTTGCCTTTTTTTTTTTTTTTTTTATTTTCTGACTATTACTAGTCACAGTCGGTTACTTTCTGAGCCTGCTTGCCTTTTTTAAAACTATACACAGCTAAGTGCCCTTCTTAAGCCAAAATATAATGTAATCTTAGTTGTTCATAGACAGTGTAGCCCTGCACTAGAGCTCTGACTCTAGTCGATGTTTACACGATCTTGGTCAAGTTAACTCTGTGTGCTTCAGTTTTATCACATCAAATTGGGGATAATAATTGTGATTAAGGTTAGACTATGATTATAGGAATTAATTACTGACTAGGGATACAACTTACTTGGTAATATGCTTGTCTAGTGTGTGCAAGGCCCTGGGTTCGATCCTTAGTGCCACATGAATTGAGTTTTGTGATAATATGCCTGTAATCTCCGCACTTGAGAGATAGGAGGATCAGAAGTTCAAGGTCATTCTTGGCTACATTTCCAGTTTGAGGCCAGGCTGAACCATGAGACTATCTCAAAACAAAACAAAACAAAACAAAAAACGTTAATTAGGTGGAGTGCTGCTGTCTGAGGTCAGAAAGATTGTGATACTGTATAAACAGCAACTCAGAAATTGCACTGCTAAAAATTGTTGGCCTGGTGCTGTCGGTTTTGCCTTTGAACACCATATATATTGTCCATATTCATAAAGTCGTTCTACAAATTTGAGCCACAAAAATAAAGCCTCTGTACTGAGTGGTATTTTTCTTGAATTCTTTGTTATAAAAAGTTGGAATGGAACTTGCTATGTAAGCTGATCATATCTTTTAATAATAAAATGTGGTTGAACCTGGTTCTTTTTTCCCCAGAGTGTCTTTAGAAGATCTGTATAATGGAAAGACAACCAAACTACAGCTTAGCAAGAATGTACTCTGCAGTGCATGCAGTGGGTGAGTGCATTGTGGTGTGTGGTATGTTTTATCTGCTTTTGAAGGGACACAAAGTATAAGCAACAGGTGTTTTCTGAAACCTTGAACACTCAAATTTTAGTGATGATTATTGGGGTGGGAAAGCAGTTTTAATTTGTTAATGACTGGTTGCAATGGTTTGTAGGCAAAAAAAATGTGATTTAACTTTTGCTTGTCTTAGCCAAGGTGGAAAATCTGGAGCTGTTCAGAAATGCAGTGCTTGTCGGGGTCGAGGTGTCCGCATCATGATCAGACAACTGGCTCCAGGAATGGTACAGCAGATGCAGTCTGTTTGTTCTGACTGTAATGGAGAAGGTATGTGTGCCAATATTTGCTTTGCTTTGATACTGGAATACATTAGAACATTGAAATTGGAGACATTTACAGTTTTTCTAAATGTGTTTGTCTTATTAAAAATGTTCTAATCAAAAGTTGAAAATTACTTTTTTTTATATGACATTGCTTTAATTGAGGGGGGAAGGAAATATGACTGAGAAATTCAGTTTTTGATTTGATCAAATTACATGACAAGATTTTTTTTCTCTCATCAGTGCTGGGATTGAATCCAAGTCCTTGTGCCTTCTTAGCATGTACCTGACCACCGAACTATGCCCACTGGCCCTCGTTCTGATTAGTGATCACCACCTACCCACTTAGCCTACCCTAACCCTGATGCTAGAAATTAAACCTAGAATTCTTACCATCAAGCCACATCCCTGGCCCTTCATGATTAAATTTAAAGAGCCACTTGTGGTAGGTGGCTCTAGTCTTAGCACAGTTGTAGAGTATCCTTTTCCAAAGTGCTCTTGGAAATGATGAGGGGGTTTTTGGTTTTTGGTGTTTTTGAGACAGGGTCTCCCTGTAGCCCCAGCTGGCTTGGAACAAACTATGTAGACCAGGCTGAACTTGAACTTGTAGAAATCCAACTGCCTCTGCTTCTGTCTCCCAAGTGCTGGGATTAAAGGCATGTACTGTCACACCTGGCATGATGAGATAATTTTAGGAAGATGTATATTGGGTTCAAGAAAGAGCTTAGTTGGCAAAGTGCTTGATTTGCTGGCATGAGGACCTAGTATGGTACAATCTCAGCGTAATCCACTTGGTAAGCTCTAGGTCAGTGAAAGACCTTATCCTAAAAAAGGTGGAGGACAACTAAGGAATGGCACCTGAGGTCAACCTCTGTCCTCCACAGGAAGATGCATATTGACACCCCTGAATGTCTATATATTTTACCTTACTAAACTTGCTAAGCCTTGCTGGGTGTGATGGTACACACTTTTAATCCCAGCACTTGGGAGGCAGAGGCAGGCAGATCTCTGTGAGATCCATACTAGCCTGGTCAAGTTCCAGGCCAACTGGGCCTACAGGGAAACTGTCTTTTAAAAAATAAATAAATAAGGGGCTGGAGAGATGGCTCAGCAGTTCAGAGCACTGGCTGATCTTATAGGGACCCAGGTTCACTTCCCAGCACCCATATGGCTGCTGTCAACAGTCTGTACCTCCAGTTCCAGGGGATCCAATGTCCTCTTCTGACCTCTGTGGGCATTGCACAACACAGGTGCACGTACATACAGCAGGCAATGTACTCATACACAAAAAAATTAAAAAACAAAACAGTAAGTTGCTAAGCCTTTTCACTATCAAGAAGCCAGTCAGCTGAACTCTTTCCTATGTATAATTATCATTTGAAATGGTGTTTTGCCAAATACACTTTACAAAAGGACTACTCTAGAAAAATCCCTTGTTACTAATTATGTATCTGTTACTAATAATGTGCCATAAGCAAATATTTCAGAAAAAGAGAAAAAAAATTGTTTGGCTAAACTTGGTACAAAGGTATTCAGTAGCAGCTGAAAGTTCAGATATCTTTAATTGGTTTCGAGAATTCTCAGTAATAGTGTAACTACATAAAAGCAGGATTGGGGCTGGAAGTGCACAGCCATGTTACTAATTATGTATCTGTTACTAATAATGTGCCATAAGCAAATATTTCAGAAAAAGAGAAAAAAAATTGTTTGGCTAAACTTGGTACAAAGGTATTCAGTAGCAGCTGAAAGCTCAGATATCTTTAATTGGTTTCGAGAATTCTCAGTAATAGTGTAACTACATAAAAGCAGGATTGGGGCTGGAAGTGCACAGCCATGGGTTTCCCAACTAATTGGGGGGGGGGGAGGTGAATAAAATCATCGTCTATAGTAGGATACTTGAGCAAGATTTGGTCTTGTAAGTAAACTCCAGTACCATCTGTACAGTTTAGTAATGGGCCATGAAGAATATTTAAGGGCTGGGATGTAGTCAGTGGTAGAGTGCTCTTAGGTTCAATATCATATGTATGTTTTTTGTTTTTGTCTTTTTGAGACAGGGTCTCCCTGTAGCCCCAGCTGGCCTGGAACTCACAGAGATCCGCCTGCCTCTGCCTCCCAAGTGCTGGCATGCGCCACCACACCCAACATACCCTATATGTTTTATGTAAATTTTACTTAGGTTGTAACTGTCCAATGGTAAACCTACTAGAAATGAAACTGAAAACCTTTCCAGAAGTAATTATAGACACTCTAGTATCTGAAGTAGAATTAGAAACAAAATTTTACAATATGTTTCACTCTGTAATTATGGGTAACTGGATCCTTCAAGGTGACAGTTAGTAAGATAAGTTGTTTTGTCACTCACAGTGACACTTAAATGGAAAGTTTAGTAGAGATTAAAAGATGTCCAAAATGTGTAATGCATTAAGGATGCTGAGACCCTTTCTTAAGGGTGTGGTACATAGTACTCTTGCTGGAAACTTGATATGGCTTTTCTTTGCAGGCGAGGTAATTAATGAGAAAGATCGCTGTAAAAAATGTGAAGGGAAGAAGGTGATTAAAGAAGTGAAGATTCTTGAAGTTCATGTAGACAAAGGTATGAAACATGGACAGAGAATCACATTCACCGGGGAAGCAGATCAAGCCCCCGGAGTGGAGCCTGGAGACATTGTTCTTTTGCTACAGGAAAAAGAGCATGAGGTAATTTCCTTGTGGTTTCTTTGCTTTATTTTTTTTATTTTTATTTTTATTTTTTTTAATTCAGAATTTGATCTTGCCTTTAAGAAAACAGTCTGTTGGGTATCCTGGAGTAACAACTGGACAGAAAGGAAGTTGTTAAGGGAGCGTAACTGATTTGTGAGCATGACTGACCTGTGTAAGTGAAGCCAATAAGGCAGGTGCAGTGGGAAAGCACTGTAGGTGTTAGTATTTACCCAGCCTTCACCATAGATTAACTCTGTACAGCAAAGAAGCTGTGGTCTCTGTCTCATTCCACTTTTTGTAAATAAATGTTAGGTGACATAATTTCACTATAGAATGCTTTTGATGCCTAATAAGTGGACAGTCTTTGGTCCTCTCAATACTGCTCTGTTGATTGGTGTTACTGTACTTACTGGGTAGCTAGATAGAACTTTCCTTAAATGAAAGAGTTCAGTAATTTTCTTTTTTCTTTGTCTTTTTTTTTTTTTTTGAGTAACCTACTTTCAGATATTTTTGTGTGTGTGTCTGTGTGTGTGTGTGTATATATGATCTATGTATTATGTGGACTCACTCATGTCACAGTATGTGTTAGAGGACAACTTTTTGTGTCCAGTTCTCCTGTGGGTTTCCAGGGTGGAACTCAGGTTGTGAGGCTTGGGTGGCAAGCACTTTGACTCTCTGAGCCACCTTACTGACCTGAGTTTGGGATTTTTAAAAAGTTGGGGTTCTTCTTTGATTTTCAAGATCTATTTTTATGTGTGTTGTTTTGCCTGTATGTATGTATTTGCACCACATGCATGCAGTGCCCCTGGAAGCCAGAAGAGGACACTGGATCTGGTGAAACTACAGTTAGCTGTTGTGAGGTGCTATGTGAGCTTTGGAAGCCAAGCCCCAGTCCTCTCCAAGAGCAGTACACAGTCTTAACCACAGAACCATCTTTCCTGCCCTCAAAAAGTGTTTTTTAAGCAGTTTATGATTGAATATGTTGACTGTATTATGTACAATGTACAAAAATGTACAGGGTCTCCCTGTAGCCCCAGCTGACCTTGTACTTACTGTGTAGACCAGGCTGGCCTTGAACTCAGAGATCCACCTGCCTCTGCCTCCCAAGTGCTGGAATTAAAGGCATGTGCCACCATGCCTAGCTCTAGAAGTGTTTTTTTAAGATTTATTTTTCAGTTACCTGCGTGTTTTGTGTGGGTACGTGTACATGAGTTGCAGGTGCTCCTGGAAACCAGAGGTGTCTGATTCCCCAAGAGTTGGAGTTACCAGTGGTTGTGAGCCACCTGACATGGTTGTTGTGAATTGAATTTGGTCCTCTGGTATCTGCCCTTAATCACTGAGCCATCTCTGCAGCCTGCCTCTGCCTCCTAAGATGCTGGGATGAAAGGTGTGCACTACCATGCCTAGGTCAATTTTTTTTTCCTTCCCACTTAATAACTTTTGCAATATGTAGTCTCTAGACTTACACTGTAAGATTTTAAATAAGCTAACTTTAGCATTTGCTGTTTAATTTACATTAAGCAAGTTTGAATTTTAAGTGCAGTAAAACTTATTTGTACATGTGTAAAGCACAGAATTTTTTTTTTCAACTTTTATATGCATTTATTTTATCCTCAATTTATTCCCATACTGTAAGTTTGTTTCTTCAGTTTCTTCTGGGATATGTTTTTTGGGGGGAGGGGGGCGTTCTTTTTGAGACAGGGTCTCCCTGTAGTCCCAGCTGGCCTGGAACTCACAGATAACCACCTGCCTCTGCCTCCCAAGTGCTGGGATTAAAGACAAGCGTCACCATGCCTAGCTCTCTTCTGGGATATCTTCTCCTTCTGTGCAGCCTCCCTCTTCAGGCTAAGGAACAATTTGTTCTTTTCAGTGAGGATTGTTTTGATGTGGCACAGGGAACTCATGTATGAGTTAATCACACCATGAGCTCTGTAAGTTCTGCGGCATGTGTTGGGTGATTTGTTTACCTGGATATGTTCAATGACTAGATTCTATGTCAAAACCAAGTTCAGCAGTGTTCTCTGCATTTTTAGCATGTGCCGCATTCAGCACTCTTTTTTGGGCTATTGACTGTGTCCAGCCCCACTATTTGGCCTGGACATGCCTCCCAACTCCACTTTATATGGTACACATGGCTTCTTTAAAGTGATGTCTTTCAAATACTTCATAGTTTTTTGGATATGCATACCCTTGATGGCCTGGGCAGTTTTACTGGTGTTTTTAAAGTGAACACAAAGATTAGAACCTCTCGATCTGCATGATTTCACATGGTTTTCTGGTTTGAGAGAGTAGCAAACCATTTTCACAGGTCACCTCAGGCTGCTTACAAGAAGAGGAAGCTTGGGGGGCCTGGTTGAGCTTTTCAGTTTTTTTGTTTGGGTTATTTGTTGGTTTGGTTTTTATTTGAGGCCTCCCTGTAGCTCCAGCTTGCCTGGAACTTGCTATGTAGACCAGGCTGGCCTTGGTCTCACAGAGATCCATCTGCCTCCACCTCTTGAGTGCTGGGATTAAAGGTTTGTCACCATGCCCTACTCAGTTGAGCTTTTTAAAATCGAATTTGTACTTTCTCCTTCCCCTATTGGGATCATTTATGGGGGTCATTCCAGGTTCAGTCTGTTTTATAGAAGCCCACTGGAACTACCTGGAGTCACAATCAGAAAGAATACAATTGCATCATGTACCCAGTGCTGGCTTTTGCTTCCTTAACTCTGTTCTTATGTCAGTATTTTCCTAATTCTAGGACCTTCCTATAGAAGCTTCTAGTATAATATGGGAATAGCTAGCTTATTGCTAAATATACATTTTAGAAATTAGGGCAGTGACATCTTTGGCTCTTGCAATGAATGATAAAATTAAGGGTTTGAATTAACTTAAGGATTGTGCAGCAGAATGGTATGGATTCATAACTTTTCTAAAATATGCTTCTTGGACTGGAGCAGTGGCTCAGCAGTTAAAAGAATTTGCTTCTTTTACAGAGGATCCCTATTTAGTTCCCAGCACCCTCATGACAGCTAACAGCCATCTATAACTCCAATTCCAGAGGCTCTAACACACTCTTCTGGCCTCTCCAGGCACTGCACATTCATGATGCATGAATCACATACATGGACCCAAAACACCCACACACATAAAATTTTTTTAAAAAATCTTTTTTTAAAAGTATGTTTCTTTGTCTATAGGTTTTCCAGAGAGATGGGAATGATTTGCACATGACATACAAGATAGGACTTGTTGAAGCTTTATGTGGATTTCAGTTCACATTTAAGCATCTTGATGCTCGTCAGATTGTGGTGAAATACCCCCCTGGCAAAGTAATTGAACCAGGTAAATCTTGATTACGTTTGATCCAAGTGTTTACATATTGCTATAATTCATAATTTTCATAGTGGGTAATTTTTCAAAGGAATATTATTGAATACCTTTCTTGGATAAAATTCTCTCTTCATTTCTCTTTTTCTTAATAGGTTGTGTTCGTGTAGTACGAGGTGAAGGAATGCCACAGTATCGTAATCCCTTTGAGAAAGGTGATCTTTACATAAAGTTTGATGTGCAGTTTCCTGAAAACAACTGGATCAACCCAGACAAGCTTTCTGTAAGTGTTCTTTAAAGTTGAGTAAGTAACTTGGTGGTTCTCTCTTTCACCCTCCCTCCCCCTCTGCTTTCCTCTCCTTTCTCTTTGCTTTGTTTTGTTGCAGAGTCTCACTTTGAGGCCCAAGCTGCCCTGGAATTCATAGCAGTCTTCCTGCCTTGTCAACCAACAGGGTTGAGCAACTTGAACTTTTAACAGTTGTACTGCTTTGCCACTTTGACTTTGGTGCCAAGATGAGATCATACAATTTAAAATTGTACTTTTTTAATATCGCATGCTTAGTGGTTTTTCTGGTTGTTCTGAATATGGGGTTGACTGATGTGTATGGGGCCAAGCAGGAGTGTAAAGGACCTACAGCAGAAGAGGTGGAGGCAATAGGGGTGTCTTGGAAATCCTTGTAGAACAGGTCCTGTTCTAGTTTGTTTCTCCATTGCTGTGACAAAATGCTCTGACCAATACCAACTTGGGGAGGAAAGGGTTTATTAGGCTTATGTCTCCTGGGTCACAGTTCATCCAGGAGCCCAAGGTAGGAGCTCAGGGCAGGAACCTAGAGGCAGGAGCTACAGCACAGGCCATGGAGGAACTCTGCTTACTGGCTTGCTCCCCTGGCCCCTGCTCAGCCTGCTTTCTTATGGAACATAGGCCCACCTGCCCAGGGGTGGCACCACCCACAGTGGGCTGGGCCCTCCCACATCGCTCATCAATCAAGAAGATGCCTCACACACATGGCCACAGGCTAGTCCTATGGAGGTAATTCCCCAATTGAGGCTCCCATAACCCAGGTGTGTCAAGTTGACACTAAAGCTGTCCAGCACAGGTCCCTCAGCTGGCATTCTGTTTAGAGGTTCAGGAGGACATTCTGCAGTCGAGTTCTAGTGTTTAAATGTTGGCATTTTGTGTGAGTGTGGGCATGTCTACCATGGTATATGTGTGTAGAGGTTAGAGAACAGCTTTCAGGAGTCGGTTTCCTCCTCTTACCATGTGGGTCCCAGGGGTTCAACTCAGTTGTCAGGCTTGGCAGCAGGTGCCTTTGCCTGTTGTGCCATCTAACTGGCTCCCTAATTTTGTTTTTAATTTAAGCAGTAAATGGGTTGCATAAAAGATGTCTGTGGGGCATCAGTGTGTGATCTTAGACTTAACGTGCAACGTCTAGTCACTTTGATGTTTTAATTCTCAAAGAAGCACACATCTAGATTTTATCAAAAGAGGAATTAATGAAAATGTTATAACTCTGTTTCTGTTCTAATGAAGGAATTAGAAGATCTTCTGCCATCTAGACCAGAAGTTCCTAATGTAATTGGAGAAACAGAGGAAGTAGAGCTTCAGGAATTTGATAGCACTCGAGGCTCTGGAGGTGGTCAGAGGCGTGAAGCCTATAACGATAGCTCTGATGAGGAAAGCAGCAGCCATCATGGACCTGGAGTGCAGTGTGCCCATCAGTAAACGCTACAAGTTGCACAGGTGGATTTTCTTTCCATATTTGCCGGATTTGCCAGCTGCTGGAGTGTCTGATTAGTCCAGATGAACTGATGGACATCTGTTGATCTATGTGTAACTTTTAAAATTGGTATAGTATCCACAGAGTGTACAATTTAAACTAACCACAAAGCTTTACGTCTTCATTTCGACTGTTCTGTAGCAGAATAAAGCACTTGAAAGAAGACTCCCTTTCACACATTGGTTATAAGTTTCAGTCTGTGCTTGATTTTTACCAGTTTTGTGTAGACTTTGTTTCATATTTTAAATTCAAATCCCACCTTGTAAAGTTTGTACAATTTGTCCTGAAGCTTTGTGTTTGGCTGCATCTGCATAAGCTGCTACAAATAGAATAAAAAAATTCATAGCCTGTATCTATCATTCAGATGCATGGAAAAATGGGCTTTGCACACAATGGGTTCGGAGCTGACTGGGAACAATGGAAAAAATTACATTAGCCATGGCTGTAAAGTTTTGGGGGCTTTTTAAAAAAAATTTTTTTGTGTGAAAGGTTTCTGAAACTTGATAATAAAAAGCAGTTGGTGTACATTATTCTGTGTCACATTTTTAGAAGGAAAAACATATTTTGCAACTGTAAAAAAGTATCCTTAATCTGAAGGATGACTGGTTCTGGTTTTTAAACAGCCCTTAAAACCCATTGGCCTGAAGGTTATGCTTCAGGTACCTGCCCATTTTATAGTTTTAAAACTCAAAAGTTGGTTGAAACAGGCTTTATTGATTTCAGTTGATGCTTTGTAGAGTGGAGGACATCCAAGTTATGTAACTCCTAGGTTATCCTGAACATTGGGGCGAGCCCAGGCCTCTGTTATCCTCTTGCAGCCCACTTAAAAATAAGGTTAACAGATTGATAGTAGAACCATGTTTACACAGAACCTGTTAAAATGCTGTTTTCATTAAATGTTATTAAAAAGAAGCTCTGTCTCCATTAAGCTGAATATCTGAAACTGGGGGAAACATTGACTATTTGATTTTCTATGTAGAAAACTAAGACTCTTAGGCTAGCAAACTTCACAGTGGCTGAACATTACCATCCCACCAGCAGTGCATCAGGATTCCATTTGACCTACATCCTTGCCAGCACCATTTTGATTATAGCTGTCCTAATGGGATGAAAGGGTGTGTTTCCACCTTTCAGTAATTACCGTTTCACTCCCAGAGTAAGTATCTCTAGGACATGCCTTTTTGAGGGCCAAGAGACACCAAGTACATACCTTCTACATTTGGAGAGGAACTGGGAGAAAGTGAAAACTTAAGATTTTTAAATGCATTGTGGCATCTCTTAGCCTATCAGTACTTGAGTATATTTCTAAATCTGCTGAATGGGAAAAAAAAAAATCTTGACACTAATCAAGGCCTGTGAGGTTTAAAGTATTGCCCTATCCGCTCTACCTCCATTGTACAAAAATATTTTACAAAAAGCCTGGGCAAGATTCAACAACATAGTTTTGTATTCAAGGTTATTTCCCCACGAGACTTTAAGCCTGAGCAATGCGGTGGCAATATAAACTTTGTAGCCTTTGCAATAAAGGTTTATAAAACAGTTGTTCAGCAGAGTCTCAGTTCTTCTGCCTAAACTTTTTGGGGTGTGCATGTGTATAGTGTGCGTGGTGCTGGGGACTGCACTCAGGCCTTTGTATATGCCGGGCAGGTGCTTTGCCAACTGAGTTAGGTCCCCAGCTACTCAAGTGTTTTGACTAGAGCAAAGAAAATTTGCAAGAAGGGAATTGATGTGTTACTGCTCTAGTCTACTCTGCTGTGTCTCCATCTAAAGATGAGCACGCGTGTGCAACATTGCGGTTTTCATGTTTTAAAATGAATTCCAAAGAAAATGCACATTTCAGTGCTCTTCCATGTTAACATTTGTGTGGCCATCAATCACTTGTCTTCATTCTAGAACTTTCATCACTCCAAAAAACAAACCCTGAATCCATTAGACCTATTGTCTCATCAGCCCTTCATGCAGTCACTAATATTTCTGTTCCTAAATAGAATTTGCCTGTTTCACTGTTTTACACTTGTTTAACATATATCACTGCATTTATTACCAAGTAGTACCCAGGGTATGAATACACCACACATTTTATTTGCTTATTAGTGGGAATTTGGAGGCTACTATGCAAATGCCACTATGAACATAGATGTCCAAGTTTTTGTATGGACATAAATGTGTTTACATACCTAGGAGTGGAATTGGGTCATGGTAACCAATTGTTTGAGGGACTGTCAAACCTCCAAAGTGGCTGTACCTTTTTATCCTACCAGTAGTGTAAGAAGGTTCCGTTTGACCTACATCCTTGCCATTGCATAATTTTGGCATCCAGCCAGCTCAGTGAATATGAAGCAGTTTTGATTGGCATTTCCCTGATGGCTAAGGAATGGCCATACATCCTTTCGTGTCCTTGACTGCCTATTTGTATATCTTTGAAGTATTTTGCCTACTGCTCTTTTTGTGTTTTAGGATACTATGTATTTAATCATCTGTGTAGGCTCTTGCTGGCTGTGACAGTTTTTGAGGAATGTTTTGTCTTGAGACAGGGTTTTGCTATTAAAAGTCTGGGTTGACCTTGATGAACTCAAGGCAATCCTGCTACCTCAGCCTCCCAGTGCTAGCATTACAATCATTACCAATATGCTCAGCTTGTGTACAGTTTATTAGACTTCAATACTGTTTGATATGTCACAGGCCAGCACTTCTCCCTACTCTTCTGTGAGATTTGTCCATACATTTGTATACAAGTAGCACCATGAATCAGGCAAAAAGGGACTAGAATAGCTGACTTCTGAGAAAATCCTAAGAGGAAGAAAGAAAAAAATTGACTTCCCTGGTCTACGTAACAGGCTTAGAGGAAGCTCTTAGCAGGGTACACGGAGTCTCTAATTGTTGATGGGCTCTACCATTCTCTGCAGGATTAGCTAATCCTCTCCTTTGATCTATAAACTTTTGATTAGGAAGGAAACGATCATTAAAAATACCAAAATGGGGCTGGAGAGATGGTTCAGCGGTTGAGAGTGCTGGCTGTAGAAGACCCAGGTTCAAATCCCAGTGCCCACATAGTGGCTAACAACCATTTGTAACTCCAGTTCCAGAGGATCTGGCACCCTCTTCTGACTTCTGTGGGCAGCACACATGGGTGCATTTACATACATACAGGCAATCGACTCATACACATAGAAAAATGAAATAATTAAAAAATAATTTTTAAAGAACACAAAACAAGACTTGATTTGGAAAAATGAATGCTGCACACTCAGCCCAAATCACGTTTGTCGGACTATACAGTTGGTTATAAGTTGTTCCTTTTGGTTTATTTTTATTTTTTGAGACAGTCTCACTCTGCTGGCCTCAGCCTCAATTCAGGTTCTTAGAGGCATGCCCTGCCACACCTGGTGTAAGTTGATCTTTTTAAAATATACATTTATATATATATACATATAGGGGCTGGAGAGATGGCTCCATGCTCTTGGAGAGGACCCGGGTTCAAATCCCAGCACCTGCATGGTGGCTAACAACTATTCGTAACTCCAGTTCCAGGGGATCTGATACCCTTTTCTTGGCGCTGTTACATACATGGGGGCAGTATAATCATACACATAAAATAATAAAAATATTTTTAATAAAATATACATATAGGGCTGGCAAGATGGCTCAGTTATTTAAAAATAGGATACAATAATATTTGTACAACTTTGGACTTTCTTTTTTTTTTGGTCTTTTTGAGACAAGCTCTCCCTATAGCCCCAGCTGGCCTGGAACTTGCTGTGTAGACCAGTCTGGACTTGAACTCACAGAGATCTGCCTGCCTTGCCTCCCAAGTGCTGGGATTAAAGACATGTGCCACCATGTCTGGCCAATTTTGGACTTTTTATATGCAGATATACAAATATATTCTATATAGGTTTGTCTTTTGTATGTTCACAATGGCTTTTTTCATGATCACAATAATAGCAAGCAGTCCAAATGTTTTTTAACAGATTAATTTTAGGACACAGTGATATATCCATGTATTGGAATACTAGTCAATAAAAAGACTATTAAGGCCAGGCATGATGACGCATGTCTTTAATCCCAGCACTTGTAGCAGAGGTAGGGGTTCTCTGTGCGTTCTAGGCCAGCCTGGTCTACATAGCAAGTTCCAGGCCAGCTGGGGCCACATAGTGAGACCCTGTCTTCAAAAAAATAAAAGTACTGAGTCTCATGAACAAATCTAAGGTATTATCCTAAGCAACTAAAAATGCTGTGTATTTTATCTTCACATACAGTTCCTTGTGCGTTTGTACATAATGTGTAAGACCAGATTACAAAGTTAAATTTCTAAGACTAGGGATGGAGCCCAGTAGGTTTGATTTACAGCATCAAGCACACGAAAGTTCCTCTATATCACTGGCACAATGTAGAATCTAAATAAATACTTAAAGAAAAAAGGGTTTCATGATTTTTTCAGTGGATCTTTTCAACTTAAGATCCATATGGTGGATCTGAAATAATGACCTGTGTATTAGTTACTTTTCTGTTGCTGCGATAGAAACACTGACCAAAGCAATTTATAGAAGGAAGAGTTTCTTTGAGCTTATGGCTCCAGGGGAATTACAGTCCATCAAGGCGGGGAGGCATTGTGACAGAGGTGGCTGGAGCAGGAGCAAAAGCAGAGTGCTCACATCTTCAAGCCAGCACAGGAAGCAAGAGAGTGACTGGAGATCCAGCGAGGCTTAAGAACTCTCTAAGCCCGTGCCAGTGACATGCACCTGCTAAGACCTCCCAAAACAGCACCACCAACTGGGGACAAAATGTCCAAATACTTCGAGCCTATGGGGGACATTTTCTTTCAAATCACCACAACCTGAAAGGTCATTTTAGAAGAACAACATGGCCCTATTAGCGCAGAAGGCTTAGGGAACAGAACAAAATGTTCCCCCCACCCTCCTTTGTTTTTTGTGTTTTGAAACATGTAACTGTGGCTGGTTTGGAACTTGCTATGTAGATGTAGAATAGGCTGGCCTTGAACTTGTGACAATCCTCCTGCCTTTGCCTTTTTAGTGCTAGGATTATAGATTATAGGATAGATATAGGATGTACCACCATCCTGGCCTTTTTGAAAAGGTTTTTAACTTTAATTTTTTAGGTGTATGAGTAGTATTGCCTGCATATACATAAGCGTACCCATGTCATGTAATGCCCATGGAAGTCAGAAGAGAGCATCAGATCCCCTGAAACTGGAGTTAGAGATGGTTGTTAGCTGCAGTGTGGGTGCTGGGAACTGAATCTGGACCGTCTGCAAGAGTAATCAGTGCCCTTAACCACTGAGCCATCTCTTCCCCCCCCACCCTTTTCTTAGATGAAGTTTTGCTGTGTTGGCCAGGCTGCTCTCCAACTCCCAGAGTGATCCTCCCACTTCAACCTAGGACTAGTCTCTTGTGCCAGATGTCTACTCTGAGATATGTTTAAAGTGAATGTAATCCAGTAGTGTTGGACAGTAGTGACTTTTCTTAACCTCTTCACCATCGAGAAGCTCATGTTGAAATATTTGGCTTCCCTAATAATGTTTCCTTACATTTATACTTTACTTGGGTACAATTTTAAGTATAAAAAGCTGTGATATAATTAACAAAACCAAACCCATAAAATAGAGATTTATAATTAAAGAGGATATATGTGGGCTGGAGAGATGGCTCAGGGTTAAGTGCACTGGCTGCTCTTTCAGAGGATCTGGGTTCAGTTCTCAGCACCCATATGGTAGATAACAACCATCTGTAAATCCAGTTCCAGGGGCTCTGACACCCTCTTCTGGACTTTACAGGCACTGCATGCACATGGTATACTCACATACACGGAGACAAAACACTCATATACATAAAAGAGTTTTTAAAAAGAAGATACATGATTCTGTCCAGGAAAAATGCTTGGGCAGACAGCTGAGAAATACCTAAAAGCACAGTATCAACCTTACATACTAATCCTGGTATCACTAGGAATTGAATTCCTTTCTGGGTATCTAAAGGTTAATTCTACAGAACTCATCAGAAGAATTGAGCTATTCCCTCTGAAGTTATAGCTGGCCCCTAGCCCAAAACCTCTCAGTTCCCAAGGTCTCCAAACAAACAAGTGTTAATCCAGGTAAAAGTGGCATGATAGGTCAATATGGCAACACCCTGTCCCATTCTTTTCTCACCTATTGGTCCAGGAATATACATATCTTATACTTGAGACTCCTTAAATTCTAGGTCCTTGGGCTTGATGCTGGACCAGTCACTATCTAGATCACCATCCCAAGACTAGCAGACAAATAAGGTTGGATATGCCCTTGGTCCAGGTGCTTTGTGCAGAGAGATGGATACACTGAGATTTTTCTTCCAGGAAGTAATTCATGCTGACAGCTCCAAGCAC